ATCGAGAAGTTTGGTTCGTCAAGCAGTGGTAACTTTATAATGTGTCTTGAACTTATTTCTGAATTCGATCCTTTTTTGGCAGAGCATATAGCTAGGTACGGTAATCCAGGTCAAGGCCACACTTCGTATTTATCTTCTACTACATATGAATAGTTCGTTAAGTTAATGGCTGAAGAAGTAATGAAACAAAGAATTAAAGAGTGCCAAGTATTTTTCTATTATAGTAGATTCAAGTCCAGACATATCTCATACCGATCAACTTGATTGTGAGATATGTTCTGGAAAATGGACATCCTGTAGAGAGGTTTCTATGTTTTGTTCCGAATGCTGGTCATAAATCAGTCGAACTTTTTGATGCTGTTGTCACTGTGCTTGCGGTTTTTGATATCGACATTGCAAATTGTAGAGGTCAATCATATGATAATGCCATGAATATGTCTGGAAAATATTCCGGATTACAAGCTAGAATTAATGAAATTTCTCCAAATGCTGTATACTCTCCCTGCTCAGCTCATTCCCTGAATTTAGTTGGAGAACATGCAGCAAGTTGTTGTAAAGAAAGTAATGACTTTTTTCTTCTTCTTCAAAATTTATTTGTATTTTTTTCAAGTTCTACTAATCGTTGGTAAATATTACAGAGACATTTAACACAACGTGAAAACAGAACTTTAAAAGGCTTGTCACAAACACGATGGTCAGCCCGTTATGACGTGTGTCAGAGTCTTAATAAAGATTGGAATGAAGTGATTGAGGCTCTTACATCAATTGCAGAAGATGAAACAGAAAAATCTTGTACTCGATGTGAGGCTTCAGGTTACCTCCGTCAACTACAACGTCTTGAAACAGCTATTCTTTCTTCAGTATGGGATAATTTATTACAGAGATTTCATTTTTCTAGCAAGAAGCTCCAAGCAGTTGACATTGATCTTTATACTGTAGCAGAACTATACGGTTTACTAATAAACTATGTTGAAAGTATTAGGAAAGCTTTTGATATCTACGAAAATGCTGCTCTTAAAAAATCATTTATTACAAAGTATGAAGACACATCAAAAAGAAAAAGGATAAGAAAACTCCAAGACGACGAATCACGAAATTTTGAAACCAAATTCATTGGACGAGAAAACTTTAAAATCAATACTTTTCATGTCACAGTTGATAGAATAGTTGCAGAGTTAGAACGTCGAAAAGCAGTCTATGAAAAGTTGAGCACGAGTTTTGGTTTTTTAACTAAAGGAATTACAATGGATGTGATAAAATTATTGCTAAAAATGCTGCCAGATTAAGTAATGAATATAAAGAAGACTTGCCAGATTCAGAATCGTTTCAAAATGAGTGTCTCCATTTCTTTGGATTTTTAAAAAATTTAGATGAACCTCCAAGCACTATTCGAGAGATGTGCAACATGATATACGATAAAGGCCTCCAAGAAGTGTATCCTTACATTAACATCGTACTTAGAATCTTCTTATGCATACCTGTAACAAACTCTTCAGCAGAAAGATCTTTCTCAGTATTACGGCGCGTTAAAAATTATCTCCGATCTACGATGTGTAATGAACGTTTCAACTGTTCAGCAGTTCTTACAATTGAGTCAGAAATCGCAAAACGTATTATATAAATTATGATGATATAATTGATTCATTTGCTGATGCTCAGTCGCGTAGAAAGGTAATAAAATAAGTAATAAAAGGTAATAAAATAATTGAAGAAGTAACTCACAATTAAAGGACCTTCATTTAACAAGTATTTTATAGTCAAAATCAACATCTCAATTAAAAATAAACTTTAAAAAATTAAAAAAAATTAAAAAAAACAAAAAACCGGAGTGTGAAGTCCTATCGTGTAGCCTTCTTGTGGCACACTCTGAGTGGTATTTAATAATTCATTTAATATAATAAATAATCAATTATAATACCAGCTAATACACGTAGGTTTTTTCGCAATATTATACAAGTTGACAAGTTACATTAGGTTAAAAGCTGTTACATTTGGGATTTATTTTGCACAGGCATTAGACTTGTTAAGTTAACAGTTGTTACACTTAGGAATCATCATGTTCGCGTTATGCATTTTTTTCTTATAAAAATTCTAATTTTCACTACCTGTACAAGGGGCGGCAGCTAATTTTCAGCCCCAAGCGGCAAAATACATAAATCCGCGCCTGATGTGAGATATTTAATCTCATGTTGAACATTGAACCGAGTAGCTGCGCATATACTTATGCAAATATATGCTGTTAGCACATATTTATTGCGCTTATCAATATTTAAAAAAATCATAACTTTAAAACAGATTTATTGTATCTTATCATGATTCTTAAATCTTTTGAATATATGATTAGTGTTTTAATAGATTACTTTTAATTTCAAGCAATATATTTTAATGTTTTATAAGTGATAATATAAATATATTATAATGCATACAAAAATAAAAGGTTTAATAGTTATTTGAATAATCAATCATTTCATATGCAATAATTACATACGATATAAGATCATATCATTTACAATTAAGATCCTTAAAGTATTCTCGCATGCTTATACAAAATATTCCACAAATCGATTGACGCAAATAATAATAATTTTTATATATAGTGCTTTTTGTTCTCCATTTTTTTCCCTATACGTGCATATGTATATATTTTTTTTCTTTTTAATACAATAAATATTAAAATAATTTTATATGCCACTGAATTCGAATATCTACGAAAATAAATGAATCGTTAACATAGCTGATAAGCTAATAAATAACTTTTGATTACAACTAAAACAATACAAAACAATCATAAATTAAATTAAAAACAGTTATGTATGTTTACCTTGAACCTTGACACAAAGGACAAAGAAGAATATAAGATGTAATACTAAAGTCCATCGAATATTAAGTATCACAGAAAGATTCAATATTGAAAATATAAAAATAGAACGAATAAAAATTGAATTTCTTATTTACTTGATAAATATATTTTATAATGAGATTAACTCTGTCTAAGGTGTACATACATATGCAAGACCGTAATAAAACAAGCGAGTGAACTTATAGAGGACAAGATAATTGCTGGAAGATATAGAACGGCGGGAAAGAAACTTCTTGATGACGAAGTAATAACGTAATAATCAAATGTTAAAAGCGTATGTTACTAGTATAATTAAATGTTTTCTTATAGCAATTTGCTATTCATCATACCTACGGCGTTTGTAAAAGTAAATATATTTATGAGTTGAAAAACTCTGATAACAGAACAAATGCTAAATCATGCAGAATAAGTTGTTAAGGCCCGATTGCACCAACTTTGACTTTAAGTAAAACTTAAAACTCTCTCTGTCTCGTTTTAAAACGAAAGAGAAACAGAAACAGAGAGAGAGAGTTTTAAACTTTGCTTAAAGTCAAAGTAACGTTGGTGCAATCAGGCCTAAAAGAAATAAAAACGGGAATTTTAATGACATTAAGCAGATATCTTTTTTTACTTATAAATTTACCGTCAATTATATAATAATGGAATTATATAAAACACACACACACACACACACAATAAAAAGATACATGTATAAGTACGGAGTGTCTCATTTTAAATATACTATACATGACATTCTAAAATATCTTTTAAACAATGTATTAAAAAAAATCTTTCATATAAAAGTTGTATGGCTTGAGAGGACGCAAATAATGCGTAACAAAAAAAATTAAATCTTAAAAAAAGAAATTTTTTAAGATTATATGAAGATTAGAGTCATTTTTTTAAATGGAATTATATGAAGATTATCGTCATTTTTAAAAATGAAATAATTTTTTTGACATATGATTCCTCTAATTACTCTGTATATAAAAATATTAAGAATATCGACATTGATTTTTAAATTATTTTATATTTTATTACATACATATATTAAAATATATAACGCGTATCTCATTATATACTTTATTTTGATATTTATTTAACATGAAATATAAAAAATATATTAAAAAACTCGAAAATTATTGATATTTTCAAGTTTTTATATCTTATTCAGACAGCCATTAACATGAAATATATATATATAATATATATATAATATATATATATATATATAGTATGCATTCACTATTTAAAAAGCTATAAAAAATTTTTTCTTTAAAATCCATGCTTCAAGAGATATTTGAGATCGTCCTTTAAAATGGACCCTATATATATTTATAAAATTAAATATATTTGAATATATTATATACGTGTACACACAAAAGTTTGCTGTGTAAATACTTGTGGCATCATACATAATATCAAAGTAAAAATAATTGTTTATAAAATAATAACAAAAATCGATATATTATAAAAACTGTTATTAATATTATTAAGAATAATATTATTACGCAAAAAAATATATTGAAAAAGAATAATTCATTCGTGTGGTCGATTACCGAAGAGAAACCGAAGAGAAAGAGTCTGTAATAAAGTATAAACTTTCGCGCCTTTCACACTTTTATTTGTACTATTTCTCAATACATTTCTCAGAAAATACAATAGAAAGTTCTAAACCTTTCTATTCGTGATAACATTATGTAGTTCATTCGCGTTTTAAAAGCATTACTCCTTGCAATTTACGATACAATTCTTTTTCCCATTTCCATTTATAATTAAGCTGTGCGCATATAATTTATCTTTCTTATTTTCTTTTCTCTATAGAAAATAATAAGTGTTCAGAATACTTGCTACAATCATAAATAAACCCAAGAATAAATGTAGTATAAATCTAACTTGTGTAAGATAAATTATAGATCTCGAAAGAGGATGTGTAAGTTCCAGCGCTTTATCGCAAAAAGTGAGTATATATATATATATATACACACAAGAGGTATAATAGCTGATAAATAGAAGTGATTAATAGCTCAGGGATTGGGCGTTAACATTTCATATAGCTTCTCGCAATGCAATGATAAGAAAAGCCGAGGATATTACGTCACGTAATGTATATGCACACGAGCAACGCGTGCGAATCAGCGAGATCAACGAGACGACGAACCTAACTCATGCCGATGCGACGTCTTTGCCTTACTGCCATCCCAGAAATTCGTGAGCTCCATGGGATCGAAGCTGCATCTCTCGCGTTCCCGCCGTAGATCCGCGTTTATCGTCATCGTCATTATTAACTGATTATTATAGGAAAATGTCACACCAGAGCATCTGCCAGTAAAGACTGTTGTTCACGCGGACTACCGGCCGATTCTCCCACGCGATCACGTCGCACTTACAATTGATAACAAACGCACCACTAACCTAACCGTGTCTAACTGACGGATCACGGAGATCGGACTGGTCGGAGTGACGGCTGACGACCACCAGCTGCTGGCCACTGGCACTTCTGGCAGGCCGCCATTGGAGCAACTACAGCAGTGCGACTTTCTGTCACTCTCAGTCACTCTTCTGTCTGTGTCAGACGTGTCGGCGCTTTTGATGAATGTGGCCAAAACGGAGAACGCATGCGCGAAATAACTTGACTAAGGCTGCGTTTCATTATTCACTATCAGTACTGGCAGCATTGCACATGCCATTCCAAAATAGGTAATTATTCAGAATACCTCCCTCACCTCCGATTTCGATGAAATTAGGCTTATTCGACGCGTTTTTGCACAAAACGAAACAATCTGGCAGAAAAAAGTGTCGCTCTGCCTCGCGAACCGAGATATTTAGCGTTAAAGTTGACGACTCTGCAGGTTAGGAAATCTGTCATACCGACTATGTAAAAAAAAAACCTACCCGCTTGGGACCTAACCGTCTAGAAGTTACAGCTGAGACAGTGTCCGCTTGGAATATTTCTAACCCATGAAGACAGTGGGGTATGAGAACAGTCTTTTTAACTAGACAGTAAAAAAACCGTTCTCATACCCCACTGTCTTCATGGGTTAGAAATATTCCAAGCAGACACTGTCTCAGCTGTAACTTCTAGACGGTTAGGTCCCAAGCGGGTAGGTTTTTTTTTTTTCGTTCGAGCGGCGTAGCCGCCCGAACCCAAGCATTACTGTCTATACACCCCACTGTCCACATGGGTTAGGATTTATTTGTTTTATAGCATACATTTTAAATTTGATGCCTGTTGGACCGACAAGTAACGAGACGCATGCGCATGAAGTCAGAGAGCATGAAGAAAGCATACTGGTAGCACTACACATAGTCGGTATGACAGATTTCCTAACCTGCAGAGTCGTCAACTTTAACGCTAAATATCTCGGTTCGCGAGGCAGAGCGACACTTTTTTCTGCCAGATTCTTTCGTTTTGTGCAAAAACGCGTCGAATAAGCCTAATTTCATCGAAATCGGAGGTGAGGGAGGTATTCTGAATAATTACCCCAAAATATATCGCAGCAAACTTCCAATATACTTTTGCGTTTATATGACGTCATAAATTTTTGCGTCACTTCCTATTTCTATTACTGCGACTGGCGAGATCAGGGGTGCGTTCCTTTATTTACTGCAAGTACTGATGCTATGACGTCAAAAAGTGTACTGCCAATAGCGTTCCATTTTAACTTCGAGAACTATCGAGGTGTTGCAACTTTACAAATCGGAACTTATCGCAGTACGCTTCGTTCAACTAACCAAGTTAACGTACATTACGTCCACTGACCACTGTATATTATTAACATTGTTTGTTTTTCGTAAACAATGAGTGAAATACTCAATGAAAATATAATTGCATTTATTGCAACTATACTAGTAGAAATTATAGCTGAGGATGAATCAAGTGATAGTGATAGCGATACAGAAATCTACAATAAGATAATCCTTGCCATTTTCAGCTCTTTTTGCATCCTCGGGACTAACAATTATTTTATATGATTCATTAGTTTCACTATCGATTAAGGTTATCTCTAAGTAAGTAGCCATCTTGAACTGCGACTGCTTTACCTCGCTGGCTGCAGTAGTTTCAACAGGAAATGACATCAAAATTCATGATGTCATAGATCTGTACAAGTGCTTTCGCAGTACACTGTAATCCATTTTGGAACGCCGTTGGTAGTACTGGCAGTACTTGCA